TTTAGGGGCTGATTCTGGTGGGAATGAAGATTGAGGGGCTGATTCTGGTGGGAGTGAAGATTGAGGGGCTGATTCTGGTGGGAGTGAGGGTTGAGGGGCTGATTCTGGTGGGAATGAGGGTTGAGGAATGACGCTGGTGGGAGTGAGGATTATGGCAGAGCTGAAGTTTATGCTGGGATTTAAATAGGAGTCATCTTGTGATATTGTTGATGAAAATATTTTTGCCACTCCACTGTGTTGAGTAATTTTGGTGTTTTATTCCCAAGTTGAGCTGTCTGCATAGTTACCAAGCTTCGTCAAAAGGCAACCTGACCCAGGTCAGCAGGAGCTGTGTGAAACAACCAAAATACTACAGCTACATCTCTGTGTTGGCACTTATTGCCACAACCATGTTGGTGCAGGTCAGCCACATGGTGAAGGTGTTCCTGATGTTCATGATCACTGGGAGCTATGGCTTGGTCAGTGTCCTAAACTGGCGAGAGGTCTATGACGAGTATGACCGAGAACGTTTTCAGGAATTTCAGTAAGTATATAAAACAACCTGAACAAATGGAATTCTGATTAATAACAAAAATATTTCTGCAGCTAAGAGAAAGAAAACAGAGCCAAGTAGATGAAGACTCTGTGGGTCAGAGGCTCAGAGAGATTCAGATATTGGGAGTTTGTGTTCTTAAGATTCGAGAGTTTAAAATAAAACAAAGAACTGTGGATGCTGGAAATCTGAAACAAAACCAGAAATTGCTGGAGAAACTCAGCAGGTCTGGCAGTATCTGTGGGAAGAAAGCAAAGTTAGTGTTTCATGTCCAGTGACTGTGTATCAGAAGTTCTTTAGTTAGCCACAAGGTGAAGTTGCCTCTACACTATCACATCAAACACTCCCAGGACAGGGACAGCACAGGGTTAGATACAGAGTGTAACTCCTTCTACTATCATAAAACGAAAGTAAAGCTATCCCTATCCATTTTAAACTGCAAGCCGAAAGGAAAGCTGCCCTGACACTGTCCCCGTCAAGCCCTCCCAAGGCAGGCACAGCACAGCAATTAGATGCAGAGTTAAGCCCCCTGTACCCTTTTAAACTGAAAGCAAAGCTCTTTATACCTTTTAAACTTAAAGTAAAGCTCAATTGACACTGTCCCCGTCAAACAGTCCCTGGACAGGGTCAGCACAAGGTGAGATACAGAGTAAAATTCCCTCTACACTGTCACCAGCAAACACTACTAGGACAGGTACAGCACAGGGTTAAATACAGAGTAAAATTCCCTCTACACTGTCACCAGCAAACACTACTAGGACAGGTACAGCACAGGGTTAAATACAGAATAAAACTCTCTCTGCTCTTTTAAACTGCAACTAAACCTCTCTCCATAATCCTCATCAAACATTCCCAGGACAGGGACTGTACAGGGTTGAATACAGTGTGAACATCCTCTCCTATTTTAATATGAAACTAAAACTTTCTCTACAGTGTCTCCATCAAAGACTCCCAGCACAAGTACAGCATGGGCTTAGATACAGAGTAGTTTTCCCTCTATTCTTTTAACCTGGAAGTAAACCTTCCTGTACACAGTCCCCATCAAACATTCCCAAGTTAGATACAGCATAGGGTTAGATACAGAGTAGTTTTCCCTCTATTCTTTTAACCTGGAAGTAAACCTTCCTGTACACAGTCCCCATCAAACATTCCCAAGATAGATACAGCATAGGGTTAGATACAGAGCAGAGTCCCAGCGACACTGTCCCAATCAAATTCTCCCACGATGGGACAGCACAGGTTTAGATACAGAGTAAAGCTCCTTCTACTCTTTAACACTTAATAAAAAGCAGTTTGTATTCATTTAAGCTGAAAGTATAGTTCTCTCTACACTGTCTCTTTCAAACACTCACAGCACGGGTACAATACGGGGTTAGCCACAGCATAAAGTTCCCTCTACTCTGTCCCTGTCAAACACTCCCAGGACAAGTCTCACACAAGTTAGATACTGAGTAAAGCTCTCTCTATATGTGCTGTACCAGAGCACTGACTGCATTTCTGTCTCCAGGATCACTGTAACTGGGTGTTTGATTCTGAACCGGGATTCTTGGCCAATATCTGCTCCATCACTCAATTTGCAAACTTTATCATTGACATTGTCCATCTGCAACCCTGCCTCAGGCCATCTGCTGCTGAAGACCTCACCAATACGTTTGTTACCTTTCAAGTGGATATTTCCAAGGCTGCCATCTGAGTCTGCACAGTTCGCCCTAAGAGTCACTCCTGGTCTGGCAACATCTCAATTTTAAAACCCTCAACCCAGTTTTTACATCCCATCATAACCTCACCCCTCCCTATATCTGTAACCTTGACTGGTCCAACAATTCCCTGACATCCTTCAATTCTGCCTTTGTTTGTGTCCCTGATTTTGATCTCTGGAACATTGGTGTGTCTGCCTTTGTTTGCCAGGGCCTCATGCTCAAATTCCCTCACTAAAACCCTACCATTGTCACTTCTTCTTTACTATAGACCTCTCTAGCTTATCACTTTGACTAAGGTTCTACTTCTTCCCTGTGTGTCCAATTTGGAAATGCCTCTGTCCTCACCTTCAGATGTTTTACTCCATTGAAGGTACTGTTTCAATACTGGTTGTTGTCAGGCCTGATCTAGCCATTTGGCTTCAATTCCAGACTGACCTGGCTAACTCTTAACTAACTCCTGAAGAAGCCCAACAAGTCAATCGGCTGATATTAAACTGCTGCTAACAGTCGAAGAAGACCCACTGCTTTATCGGGGCACCTGCAAATGGTCAAAAAATACCAGCCTTTCCAGTAATGTTTGCATGCCAAGAAGATGGGCTAATGCATTTGCTGCTCCAGGAGCAATGGTTGTTGTACAAATTGGTAACAGAGTGGGTACAGAGGGGGTTCTTGAGACCAGGGCAAGGGTTTAGGTGCAGACTGGGTAGAAACGAGAGAGGCATGATGCAAGAGCCTGGGATGGTTGCATGACAAGGAAGAGGTGAAAGAAAAACAGTTGTACCTTCTGGTGGGGAATAATTACTGAAAATCTCAGCGATACAACACCCTAGAATCAGTAAATGCGATTAACTCAATGGCACAGGCAGCGAAATACATCTGACACATCAACCTTGGGTTTAGCCTGTAGTTAAACCTCAATGATAATCTACTGTGACCCTGGCTGTGTGTCCCCTGAGTGATTGTTATCCCTGACTGACTGTGCTACCAACCATCTCTGCCACTGACACTTATCGGGGACTAACTTCACGCTGTGTTTGTTTCCACAGATCACTTGTGGTGCCATCTCGGTTTTCCATGGTAGCCATGATCTTCGTCATGATGATAAGTCTTTACTATTTCACTCGACATGTAAGTGCGGTTAACTCTGTGACAGGATAGGCTTAGGGATGGAGATCTGTGGTGAGCGGCACAGGTCACTGGGCTCGGAGTCAGTGAGCCGGGGTCACTGGATTCAGGGTCATTGGGCACAGGGTCACTGGGCTCGGGGTCACGGAGCCAGGGTCATTGGGCACAGGGTCACTGAGCTCGGGGTCACTGGATTCGGGGTCACTGGGCTCGGGGTCCATGTGTGGGAGCTGGGGAACAGGGTGTCTGAGGGTTCCAGAATCAGGCAGCGTCCAGTCAGAAAATTTGAGAAATGATGTGTGCTGAGAGTAATGTGCTTGGGAAAAACAGGTGGCTTTGGACCTGAAATAGTAGGAACTGCCGATGCTGGAGAATCTGAGATAACAAGGTGTAGAGCTGGATGAAGACAGCAGGCCAAGCAGCATCAGAGGAGCAGGAAAGCTAACGTTTCGGGTATAGACCCTTTCTTTCTAAAGCTGCCCCCCACTGTAGGTTTCCTCATCCCCTGTCACAGATTCATTGAAGGAAATTGAGGTGATTTGGAAAAAGGAAACCTGCACTCCAAGATTTTCATCCTGCATTCATCAGGATAGAGAAATGTAAGATCTCAAAAGAAACACACGTTCCACACTAATAACATAATTTCTACCTTGCACAAGGAGACCATTCATCTCATCAGGTCCATGTCAGCACTCCAGATGAGCCCTTCATTCCCTTGCCTTCTGGTAAACCTAGACATTCATTATTTTCAAATCGTAATCCAAAACCCTTTTGAAAGCCTTGATTGAATCAGCCTCCACGACCCTTTCAGGCAGGTTATTCACATTCTCACTACTCTTTGTGTCAGAAAGTTACCTGGGGCCCAGATACAGTGACCTGGGGCTAGGAAGCAGTGACCTGGGACTCTCACATTCACCTGTTGACAGCTGGTATCAATTTAATTGGCAGCTAAGGGCCTGTCCCTAAATAGCAGTAAATTAGAGAAATGTAATATTAACTGAGGGATTAACTGAGAAGCACCAGAGACAAGTAAAAGTCAAGCTAGCATAATAAAGTAGGATAAATACCGATGATAAGTAATAATAGGATAAGGGATTGGTTTGCTCATTCCTAGACTGCCAGTTTGTGATGCAGCGTGTTACCAATGGAATGGGTTTAATTCCCGCTCTGGCTGAAGTTACCATGAAGGACTTTCTTTCTCAATCTTGCCCCTCACCTGAGGCAGAATGACCCCCAGATTAAACTGCCACCAGTCATCTCTGTCGAAAGGGAGCACAGCCCTGAGGTCCAGTAAGGCTATGGCTATTTCACCTTAATAATAGGGTGGGTAAGCCAAAGCAGAATAAGAGAAGACCGAAGTTAAGGTAACGGGAGTATCTTTAAGATTAAGTAAAAAGAAGCCTTGGGAAACAAGGCTTAGTCAGTTTAAGACATAGCAGGTGACATGTGTGACCTGTCAAATGTGAGAAGGACTTGCCTGAAGGGAGAAGGTGATAAGACAGAAGTTGCGATACACATCAGTACCAACAGTAGAGATAGAATGAGTAATGAGTTCTTGCATCAAGAATAAGGAGCTAGGTAGCAGACTAAAGAGCAGGAGCTCAAAGGTTGTAATCTCTGGATCATTCCCAGTCCCATGTGCCAGTGTGTACAGAAATAGGAGTACAGGGCAGATGAATATACAGCTCAACAGCTGGTGCAAGAAGGAAGGTTTGAGATTGCTGGATCGGTGGGACCATTTCTGGGGACCTGTACAAGCTGGACCTGAATAGGATCAACATCCTTGCTGGTGGGTTTGCGAGTGCACTTGGAAGGAATTTAACACAATGTGTTCGTACAGCTGGGACACAGTGTACTTTAGGAAAGGAACCAAGGCAGAAAGAGCTCAGCCATGTTACGTCTCAAGGGAGTAAGGTGAGGTTGGATGGCCTCTAATGCAATATTATGGGTAAGACAACTGAGTTAACGATGTGGATTGACATTTGGAATTGTGATGTTGTCACAGAGACATGATTGAGGGGGGAGCAGAACTGGCAATTCGACATTCTGGGGTACGGTGTCTGCAGGCAAGATAGGGGCTGGTGTAAAGGAGAAGGTGGTGTTGCATAATTAAAAAAGGAGTCAGTTACTGCAGTAAGGAGGGATACAATCTTGTAAAGGTCTTCAAATGAGGCTTTGTGGGTAGACCTTTGGAATAAAAAGGGGGGCTATCACATTGCTATGAGTGTAATTTTGACCTTAAACAGTCAGTGGGCAATAGAGGAGCAATTCACTGTGGTGTGTAAAATCAATACTAGATTGATTTTATTAGGGGATTTCAACTTCCCTAGCATTAATTGGGATAGTCATAGTGTAAAGGAATTAGAAAGGGCAGATTTCTTGAACTGTATTCAGAAGAGCTTTCTATACCAGTGTGTAGAAGAACAAAGAACAGTACATAGGAACAGACCCTTCGGCTCACCAAAACTGTGCTGATGCATGATGCCTTTCTCAATTAAAAATCTTTTGCCTGTATGCTATCCGTATCGGTCTATTCCCTGCCTATTCATAAATCTATCAAGATACCTCTTAAGCATTGCTATTGAGTCTGTCTCCACCACCTCCTCTGGCAGCACATTCCAGGCACTTTCTACCTCTGTGCAAAAAAACCTGCCTTTCACATCTCCTTTAAACTTATACTCTTGTACCTTAAACCTCTGAGCCCAAATAATTGATATTTCTACCCTGGGAAAATCATACTATCCATTCTATTCATGCCTGTCATAATTTTGTAAACTTCTATCTGATTGCACCTTATCTTTTGACATTCAAATGAAAACAAGCCAAGTTTATCCAATCTCCTCATAGCTAAAACCCTCCAAACCAGACAGCATCCTGGTAAACCATTACCGTACCCTCTCCAAAGCCTCCACATCCTTCTGCTGACCTACACTTCTCTCTCTCTGCTGTACAACAGTGCCAGCCATGGTGCCAATGATCTAGCTGCTGCTGCTTTCCCTGAGAGGCCATTCCCCCCAAAATGGTATCCAAGACAGTATAGGAGCTGCAGCTGAACACACTTCCTGTATACATAGTCACCATGGAAACTGGAAGTGTCCCTGATTTGCCACATATTCCAAGGGGCTCAGTTCTCATGCCATTTTGAACCTTTTCAGCTGCAAACACTAAACTAGGAACTGATTACACAACTTAATCTATTTGTCACCAAACTCAGGTCTCTCACTTATGCTCTCTATTCTTAGCAGACTACAACTACAAAAAGTAAATACATTTTTAAAATTTTATTTCACTTGTTTCTCTGATTACCTGTTTTTGAGATGTTATTATATACCTCAAGAGCAGGCCTCCCAATCCAGGGGTAAGGACACTGTGAAAATCTGGTTCCTGAGCAGCCAAGCCTGTGTCCACAATCCTCTTCTCCATCTAGCCAACATCTTCCAGAATGCTCCTAGTTGCTTCACACCAACACCCATGGAAGGTCCAATGTGAGATGGTGCAATGCTGGACCTAATCTGGGGACTGAAGCCAGACAGGTGTCTGAGGTGATAGTGGGGGAGCATTTTAGTGATACTGACCACAACACCATATGATTTACGTTTTTTATGAAAAACAAGAAAGATGGCTTGCAAAAAGGGTTTTGGATTGGAGAAAGGCAGAATTTTTAAGTTATGTAGGAACTGGCCACATTAGACTGGGAACAGTGACTTCTGAGTAAATCTGCAGCAGAACAGTGGGAGGTGTTCAAAAAGCAGTTACAGAGGGAGCAATTCAACAAAGGAACTGGTGAAATATAGAAAGTGCAGGGGGAACATAAGAAAGCAGTTAGAAGAGCCAAAAGGGGATGTGAAAAAGCACTGGCAGGAGTAAGTTTAGGGAGAATCCCAAGACATTCTATAAGTGTATCAAAAGGAAGAGGATAACCAGGCAAAGAGTAGACCCCATTAGAGACCAAGGGGGCAATCAGTGTGTGGACATGTAGGACATCAGTCGGGTGTTAAAAGTGTACTTCACTTCTGTCTTCACTCAGGAGAAAGAGGATGTAGGACAGAATTCAGGAAGAGTGGCCATGAGGTTCTTGAGCAGTTTGACATAAGGAGTGTAAATGTATTGTGGAAGACACAGGGAGGAAAGCACAGGGGCTCAGACCCACATTGTTGATTCTGCTCTGACCCCAAGGGAGGTGCCAGAGAATTACCATAGAATCCCTACAGTGTGGAAACAGGCCCTTTGGCTCAACAAGTCCACACTGACCCTCAGAGCATCCCACCCAGACCCATCCCCCTGGAACCCACCTGATCTACACATCCCTGAGCACTTTGGGCAATTTAGCATGGCCAATCCATCTAGTCTGCACATCTTTGGACTGTGGGAGGAAACCAGAGGAAACCCACACAGACACGGGGAGAATGTGCAAACTCCACACAGACAGTCACCTGAGGGTGGAATCGAACCCAGGTCCCTAGTACTGTGAAGCAGCAGTGCTAACCACTGAGCCACCGTGCTGCCCTGGATTGAAGGACACCTAATGTAGTTCGAGAGGCAAGAGTGGACATCAGACCACTGGAAAATGAAGCTGGAGAAGTAGTAACGGGGAACAAAGAAATGGCAGAAGAACTGAATAGGTACTTTGCATCAGTTTTCACAGTGGAAGAAACTAGCAGCAAACCAGGACTTCAGGAGAGTCACGGATTAGAGTAGTAAAGTGTAGTGGCCATCACTAAGGAGGAGGTGCTTGGGAGCCGAAAAGTCTGAAGGTGGATAAATCACCTGGGACCAGTTGGACGACACCCCAGGGTTCTGAAGGAGATAGCTGAGGAGCTTGTGGAAGCATTGATGGTGACTTTACAGGAATCATTGCAGTCAGGGAGGGTGCCAGAGGACTAGAAATTGGCTAATGTAATGCCCCTGTTTAAGAAGGGATGGAGTCAGAAGACAGGAAACTATATGATCAGTTAACCTGACCTTGGTCATTGATAAGATTTGAAAGTTCATTCTCAAGGGTG